GCATCAGAAGAGAGCCTGATGTTCTGGAGATTAACGGAGCAGTTTGAACATGCTTGCAAATCTGATGTTATTCATAGGTCTAAGCCTGACTTCGAGGAAATTTGAAGAATAATTTGAAACCAGTTGCAATACTGTTATTCCAGCCGTTTCAGCGAGGTTGTGCAGGGCCATAACAAGGCCTTCTTCACTTCAAATAATAATTGCCATTGCAAATCAGAGGCAGAACTGAATACCACAATTATTGAAGAAAATTCTAAAAGTGAAAATCACTGCGACGAAAAAGTACTGACGGCAGGAGACGCGATTTCAATAATAGAAATAGCATATCACCCAAAGCTACCTATACTGTAATTTGTTTACCTCGGCCACCGAAAACACGTGTTTTTTTCCGACCGACTGCATTCGCCGACTCGCGGCCCCAGATGACGTAATCAACAAATAATTGGCCAATAGAGATAATAAAAAATGATCATTGGAACAATATAAGAAAAAAACAGGTAACACAATATAATTTTGTTATTTAGTAATGTCAAAAATTCGTCTTAACGACCTTAGATCGGGACTTTTTACTTCATGACGTCATGTGTGCCAACAGTTTTCAAGAGGAAGTATAACAGTGGAATAAACCTACCTCTATTTGTAACTTGTTCGCCATTTCTGTCGACATTTGACTGCTACCATATCCCAAACTCTGACTACCCGGTGTTCTATATACTCTGGTATCAGCTGCCAGACTGCCATTGAAGACCGTCGCAAAGAAGTATGGGATTCCAGCACGAACCCTTCGTCGGCACGAACCCTTCGGTGACATCACGATTCTCGTGTATATCGTCCAGGATGTACATACATCGCTGGGACGCAATCAGGTTTTCTCTGAGGAAATGGAGACTGAGCTGGCAGGCCACATACTAGACATGGAGACGAGACTGTTTGGCCTCACCAAAACCGCAGTCCGTCGCCACTATATATGGCCTTGCCGTCGCCTCGCATTTGAATTCGCAGTGAAGTGCGGACTGCCGCATCCCTTTCAGAATGGCAAGGCGGGCGAAGACTGGCTGAAGGCATTCCTCACCCGTAACCCGCAGGTGACTCTTCGTAAGCCTGAAGGCGTCTCACTCAGTCGAGCGCTAGCCTTCAGCAAGACCAATATCGAGCGGTTCTTTAACATCTACCGGGAGGTGATGACGAAGAAGAAGTTCCTCCCAACCACCGTCTTGAACATGGATGAGACGGGGGTGACGTCAGTGCCGAAAAATCCCTCAAAGATCCTGGCAGGGAGGGGCCGGAAGGAGGTGCCTTTCTATACTCCCACTGTGCATTCCTGTGTTAATGTTCAACATATAAACTTTTACTTAAAAAAAACGTTTTGGAGATCAAAATGGTGCTACATTAAAAACTTATTTTGAATTGCATCGGATGAGTATTTCATTTTTGCATTGATATCATGGTGGTCAAGTCACCCCATGTGGCCTGCAATTCACTTGGAAGAATCGCCACCAAAAGTTTTAGGTAAATGAAGTGACAAATGCCAGTTTTGTTGGATATGCTAACTTAACAGCCTTGTCATGATCAACCATACTAAGTTTCAGCATCGCAGTTGGTCTAGAGACATGGTTAGATAATAATAAAAAAGTTCGAACCTGTTCAAATTTGACCATTTCAATGACTCCAATAAAATTGAGCCTAGTTAGGTATTTAGTGGTAACTCGTCTCTCAGTGTTGGTTATGTTGGAAGGCTCATCAATTATCTTTTATTGGTGCATAAAAAAAATTATTACATTCTTCGGAAAATATCACTGGAAATCACCCTAAAGCATTTTTTAGAAGCATGGCAAAGTCACTCAGCAAGGCAAAGTCACCCCCGTTTACGGTACCTACCCCAGGTTCTGCACGAGTTCCTCCCCCTCCCCCTTGTTGTGTTGCCTCTGCACTGTGGCCTGGTGAGAGGCGGGCGGCCGAAAACAATCACCGGAACTGCCGGACATGTATTCTGGCCGCCGCACAACAAGATCAAAATAACAAGTGAACCAACGCCTACGCCGCCATCACCGGAAGTCCTCCCCGGAGCTAGTAGTGGGCCGATGCCTACTCGGTGCGGACTAAACACGAGACGAGAGGGCGGTGAGCGTTCTTACAATCATTGTGCCTATCAAATAAGAAACTAAGCACGACTACAACGCGTGGGCGTGAAGCGTTTACATCCTACAAATCACATTGGCGCCGGTTCGGTATTTGCTATCAGCTGACACGACTCTGGGTCTTCACTAAAAATGACAAAACAAACTCGCACACCTCTGGCGCAGCTGATACGAACAGCGCAACTAAATTCGCGCCACAACACCCCTCAAATGCAAGTCTGAATCCGCCAGTGCCCATGGTCCAGAGGTTAGGTCAAGAGACCCCGAGCTGGGGTTTTAGTTTTGTTTTGCGAAGCACTAAAACAAAAATGATTCTAGAGCTAAAACAGCCAGGGACGTAGCCAAGGGGTGGGGGGCACGGGGGCCATGCCCCCCCCCCCTGAAGGAGAAAATAAAATAAAATTTAATAAATATAAAAATAAATAACAACAGCTGCACCACACCCCCTTAACAAGTGGACCAAATCCGAGAAGTTTTCCTTTTTGGAGGGGATACGACACTAGGCCGCGACCTGTGGCCGCGACCCTGAGCAAAATCCTGGTTACGTGCCTTAAAACAGCGGTACGTACGCATTCGTCACACAACCTTGACCTTGGGGCAGTCTTACATCAATACATGGACCTGCAATCTGATATATAAGGTATGTGAAGAAGTGCAAAATTTGAGGTCAATTTTAAACATGACATTGAATCTGTCCTTGGCCTTGACTACAGTTGGCACGAGAAAGTAAAACGCGTAATTCTTCGGAGTGACAAGTTTGTAGGATGCTAAGTCGGGTACGAAATGACTACCATTTTCATTATTGCCAAGACCTTTTTGGTGGCTGTCTGAGTTATGGGGAGGCAAACAGGCGTATTTAACGAACTCAGGGACTATCCCACCTTTAAAGGGACCCTCCCACCTTAACAGTAGATTTGAGTTGAGATAGCCAAAATGGGGTCCCTGGCTCACAATTACCGGTTTCGGCACTCACAACATCGAGAAATGCCTTAAATCGGAAATATTGAATTTCAAAATTGCAGCATTTTGATTCAGAGGGGCTAATGCATAGGAATACCCCTCTGAATGTGTGACGTCAGCGCAGATATCTAACGATTTTTAAATGTTTGACTAAAACGTTTAGTAGCACGCGGTGGTATATGCTGCTTTGCGCGCAACAAATGCCGCACTTTCAAATAAAGTCGCTAGGAACAGCGGAGATCCCAAAAAGTAAACAAAAGTAAAAGTCTAATATCTTGAAAACCGGTGAATATTTTTCGATGAAATTTGGTAGATATTCGTTTTTGCTCTTTCTGAACCGAACGACATCACTTTCATATGCCAATTCATTAACTTTTTTGAAGGTGGGAGGGTCCCTTTAAGATGGGGTTTGAGTTGAGATAGCCAAGTTTGCGGCGAGGTTCAGAAACCACTATCTATCTAGGTTGCAACCCCCGCGGCCTCTTGGTGAAGAAATTCGTTCCCTTCATTTGAAAATGGGCCTTGTGCAAGGCCCTATATTCAACATGGAGCGACCGTTAGTGTGACGTCACCTCGTTTAGTCATTCTGATTTAAATGGGTTTGTTCGTGAAAAATCGCTTAAAACTTGGTCTTAACTTTGTTGTGGTGCCTACAGAGAAAAAAGAATCAGCTTTATGACAGTAATGTGGCCTGGGGAAGGAGGTAATTTTGGGCTGTGACGTCACACATTTGAAAGTTTGTGTTTCGAATATGGGAAGCCTAAGATGTTTAATGAAAAATAAATGCCAGAACCGTGTTCCTGGTCATCCAATCTATAAAGTCGGGCACAATTTAACTGGTTTAAACAACATTTTAGAAGGTGGGATAGTCCCTTTAAACTCACTTTTCTTGCGATTGAGGAGGTAGGCTGGTGTGACAATGCTGTTTGGCGGACGACAGAGGCTGTCCTGTTAGGAGGCCATCCTGTTAGGCCGTGCGCTGTGGGGGTGGGGGCGGCTGAAGACAGAGCTGGCCGTGCTTTGGGGGTGGGGGCGGCGACAGGCGGGGCTAGCGGTGCAGTGGGGATGCGGCAGGCGGAGCCGATCGTTGTGTCATTTGTTTCGCGCGGCTGATCATTGGCCATTGCCGGAGGCGCCGTTAGCTCGCCCCTCGCCGATGATGTATGCTGATGAACCGTGACGGTACGCGCGGCCGTGAGCGCTTCTGCTGCGGGCCGCCACGCCGCCACCTATACCCGGACTGGTCCGCTGCTTCTCCACCGCGCGAATGGAGACATCCTCTGCTGCAGCCACAGGTGGGGCTGCAGAGTCGGACGCCGCCGGCGCCGCCGCGGGCGCCACAGGTGTTGAGACGACCGGGGGGTCGATCGTCAGCGAGCAGAGGCAAAATCACAGCCGTGTCGGCTGCCGAGGACACACGAAGAAACGTGCAAACGGGGTGAGCAGTGTGCATATATGATCTTTTCAGGTCGGCTTACCGGGGAGAGGGCAGGCCGACTAAATCATCCTGACTGATGCATCAATTAGTTGCCTCAATAATGGCCTGCGTTCTTGTCGCCATGGAAACGACAGAGGCCGTTGACGCGTTCAGGTCAGAAAGAAACAGTATCGGCTGTCACATCTCCATAATGCGCCCATTCATGACTAGCCTTAGGTCGATGGATGTTTGACGTACACCGATTCCGTTTATTAATAAACAATAAACACCAGCAGATACACGTGACACTGAAACAATTACCAACTATCCACAGGCGTTACACACTGGGCCCCGCTAAACAACAAACCTAGACTGGACGCCTCCAGGGCCACCTCGGCCTAAAAGCCACGCGGCAGCCTAAAAGCCCCCGCAGGAGTTTAGCTTTCGGCAGTATCAGAAGCGCACGGGAGATACACACAGACTCTCTAACAGTTGGCGCGCCGCTCACTGCTCAGGGCGGTGAAGCTGCAAACAACAAACAAAGGCAGTGGTGCACCGCGCACGGCTGAAAGTCAATGCACCTGCAAACGTCATCGATATTGCATAGTCTATTCACTGATATTGCATAGTCTGAACTATGATGCCATCGAGAGGCGAGAACAGGAATTACGTAAATGGCGCGCAATGTCAACAATGTCAACCTAGTCATTCGTTCGATCCGAGAAGCACCAGGAGCGGCGGGGGCCGCCAGCTGCCAGTGTACTTGTGTCTCACAGGCAATCAGGCTCGCTGGCTGGCCTGCGGCGCTCAGACGCTGGCGGCGGCGCGCGGCGAGGCCCGGCCCGCCGCCGCCGCCGACGGCCGCGCCGCGCGAGACACCACCGAGGCGCCGACGGGCGGCGGGCCGCGGCGCCGGCCGCCGCCGCACAGGATCTGCCGAAACGCCTGCTTGAACTCGAGCGAGGTGCACACGTAGATGAAGGGATTGAGGCAGCTGTTGCAGTAGCCGAGCCAGAAGAAGAAGGCGAACAGCGGCTCGGGAACGTGGCAGACGGAGCACAGCGCCCCTGAAACGATCGGCGACGATCCGTCAGAAGGCGTCGGTACACGGCGGAACAGGGGCCAGAGAACGGAGGGGAGGCGGGGGGGGGGGGAGGGGTTGGTACACGGCAGAACAGGGGTCAGAGGACGGAGGGGAGGCGGGGGGGGGGGAAGGGGACGGCAATAGAGCTGTGTCGGAGAGCCGCTTTTACCCAGAAGTGCAAAAGTAAATGCACGAGTCTCCTTCTTCAAATGACCGGCATCGGCCACTGGTTCCGTGGACCTATCGCAATTGAGTCTTTAAAGGGACTATCCCACCTTCTAAAATGTTGTTAAAACCAGTTAAATTGTGCCCGACTTTATAGATTGGATGACCAGGAACACGGTTCTGGCATTTATTTTTCATTAACCCGCGCCCTGCTGGGGGGGGGGGGTGTTTGAACACCCCCCCCCCCTGTGGTTTTTCGCGAATATCTCAAAAACGGCGGCGCGGAGCGCCGCCGTTTTTGGTACACCTTATCATACATCAATTCTACACATGTTGTGAAAATTTTAGACCAAGGTCATTCAAGGTCAGGTCACCAGGTCACTTGAAGTGACCTCACCCCATAAAAACTTTCAATGTCTGTCATAGCTATACCGAGTGACCGATCGCTTTGAAACTTTCAGCGATTGCTAAGAGCAATAGCATGTACAAAATGTATATCTCAGAATTTTGATATCGATGACCTAAGGTCAGGTCAATTTTGCGACCTCCCCATTATAAGTCAATGGGAGAAAATTGAAATGCGCCTCTTTTGGATGAAAGACATTACAAACACTCACAAACACCGAATTACAAGTGGTTTAGACACACTGAACTTGAAAATGGTGTCCGTGACCCTTGTTTATGCCCTGAGGTCATCCTAGGTCACGAATGGTATCTAACAGTTTTTCGCAAATAACTTTTGATAGAGGCATGCTAGAGCGATGAAAACGCCTTAGATGTCTTCAGCTCGACGATACGGATCGACTGATATGCAACATGACCCTTTCCGGTCAGGTCATGACCTTGACCTGAGGTCAAATTTTCAAGTTGACCTTTCAAGGTCAAGTTATAGTTCATTCGATGCGTCTTGACGAGAGGAAGACGATGCCGGTAAAAGTAAGCTCATACAAGGCTTGGGTCAAAAGTTATTGCAGAAAAACTGTTTTCGAAAAAATCGGCTATTTTTGCAGTTTTGGCCCCCTACAGGCAAAACCGTTGACGTTAGGTCAAATCTGAGAGAATTACTCAGAAAGGGCGTTAATAGGGCTATCGAATGCGCTTTTCCGCGGCGCTGTAGCTCTATTGGTTCCCGAGTTATGCGTTGGCTTCTTGGAAATTTTCGACATTCGACCTGGAAATCGGCGAAATTTTGCCTTCAATGACCTCTGGTGACCTGACCTTTGACCTGACCAAAAAATTGACCGAAGTGATTTCGTCATTATTTTTGACGCTCTTTCGAACGCCGCCTTCCGCGTATCGCTACGTGACCCAGGAGCCGAGTTACAAGGGGGGGTGTTCAAACACCCCCCCCCCCCCCCAGCAGGGCGTGGAAATCCAGGACCCCCAGCAGGGCGCGGGTTAAACATCTTAGGCTTCCCATATTCCAAACACAAACTTTCAAATATGTGACGTCACAGCCCAAAATTACCTCCTTCTTACTCTGTAGGCACCACAACAAAGTTCAGACCAAGTTTTAAGCGATTTTTCAACGAACAAACCCATTTAAATCAGAATGACTAAACGAGGTGACGTCACACTAACGGTCGCTCCATGTTGAAAATAGGGCCTTGTACAAGGCCCATTTTCAAATGAAGGGAACGAATTTCTTCAACACCAAGAGGTCGCGGGGGTTGCAACCTAGATAGATAGTGGTTTCTGAACCTCGCCGCAAACTTGGCTATCTCAACTCAAACCCCATGTTAAAGGTGGGATAGTCCCTTTAACGCATGCTTGCTTTTTGCCAACGTCTGCAGAAGATGCAGCAGGCTAGCTTAGCACTAAGCCTTCTGAAAGTGTCCATTTGCAAATTTGCGTCAAAGAATTCACCCACCCAGCCCATGACAGCTCCTTATAGACCGTCATTAGCGCTGTCGAAGGCCGAGCTCCGGTCGATGGCCATTATCGACGCGAACAGGGCGCCGTCAATCCTGTCAAGTTCCCACGACAGAGGCTAGCGTCGATCACGGTGCGCTCTGTTATCCGCGGCGAGCACGCCTGGCACCGCAGGTAAATGGTTCGCCGCCGAGCATATTGGCTCAGCCGGGCGCGGGCAGCACACCCAGCGATTTGCTCATGACAGGCGGTGAGGAAATATGGCGGCGGCTGCTGGCTGCGCTACCGACTGCGTATTTACAAATTGCAACCGAGCTCCGCCGTGGGGTAAGGTGGGCAGGGGTTTTTGCACTACGGCTGCGGTTGAACTACCGTGGAACTACCGTCTGTGATAGAAACTTCAGGATGATGGCGCGTTTCATACGAAATCTGGCGCAATGTTTGTTTGCTTCTGAACTTGTATTGTTATTGCTGTGAGCTCTTGAAGTGGTAGTGTTTCAATTACAATTTGTGGATTATTTGAGTTTCTTGATATAAAAATCGAATAATATTATGAATCATTGTGTGGAAACTGCAAATACTGATATAATCAATTGCTTAGTTTGGGAATTGATACACATTTGTAGAGGTTTGTCTGGCAAATGGTGCAACAAACTGAAACTTCAAGCATATCATGATCTGAAGCTGTTGTAACAAATCAAAATTGCTTTGATGTTCCATAATACCTTGTTGGAAAAACTGGAGCATGGTTCAAGATGATGTGTAAAAATTCAAGATTTGTGCAAAAGCTTATGACTGAAGAGCAAAAACAGTTCTATATTATGATGGCTCAATCAAACGTGGAAATGGACAATAAAAGTAGAGTTTCAACATTCCAGCATGTGAGAATAACTTCAGAACTTCATAGTTCTTGTAGCATTGCATTCTTCTTATGTACAGTTCTAGGTTTTGTTAGGGTATTTCAATTTCAATGTGTCAGTTGAGATATAGGTGGATTGCGGACAAAATTTGGAATCATTGCAATTTGCATGGTAGATAGGTACTTGTTCGGTAAAAAGGTATGCGGTGAATGCCACGAGAAGGTTCTTTTATGATTTAATATATGGTCATTGTTGTAACTAAAAAAATACAAGCTTACTAGCACTTAATTATTGAATCAAATCGAAAGTATTTGCTATGAATGTAAATATGTACCTGCAAAATATGTCAATAAATTTGTGTGATGTTGACCAGAGAGCTGTATCATCTGGGCATTTATGTTGCTTGTTACATTAGGTGTTAAGCATAGTAATTATGGATGAACTTTGTGCCAATATCTTCAATGCACAGTGTATGTAGCATGTCTACAACCCTCACTGAACCTGCTATAGCTATAGGCATTTGGCACCAGCAAGACCAAGGGCATGAACTTCACAGTTGCACAACCCTTTGTCATGTACCACCAGTCACTTTTTTCCCTTAAGGTGCACATGGCAGTGTACACAATACCTAATGCGCTGAGGGCCTACACAAAAACAACATTATTAGTGTGCACTATGATGCACAGCATTGTACCCTGATTATTTGAATATTCTGATCACTCAACAGACAGGAGACCATTTTTGAATGTCACATTTATTATACATCACTTGTCAAGCAAGAGCATGATGACACACATTTTGACAAGCAATCACGGACCATGGTAATATTCCAATAAGTTGGACACCTCCCTGGGCGTCATTTTCCAGGAAGGTACTTCTGCAGGTGTTGTGGTAGCTTAGGTTTTGGGTTAAGTAAGTTAGTAAGGCGGTTAGGACCAGGTCAGACCGTAAGGCCTGGTCAGGTTGATTTTAATCTTTCATTCTAATTTGACATATATACTTATTACCTATGTTTTTGCTCCAGACTGAACTTCATTAGGTAATGAGTTCATTTTGTTTTGCTTTTTATCTGTCTTGTTTTGTGTTTTTGTCCCTTTTTGCCCCATATGCAAGGGTGGAGCTTTTCCAGGGAAGGTGGTGGGGCAAAAAGCCGTCAAACCTGCAATGCTCGGTTGTTAAGTTAGATTATTGCGACACTGAATCAATTCTTTTAATTATAGAACTAACATTTTGAATTACACAGACATTTCAAAGCTCCTCAATGCGAACAACATAGTGGTTTGCTAAGCAACGAAGTTCTACAAATCAGCAAAAGTTGGAGGGGCAGAACGCTTTTTTTTTTCTCTGACAGCTTCGTAACATGTTACGAAGGCACCAAAACTACTTCAGTACAGGGTGTAACGAAATTATCCGGGGATCTTTTTTTCGCCATATCTGTTTGCACAGTTTCCTAATCCTTTCTGATGTTAGAAGTGGGAATATTGGATGAATACCTGCCTCTGCTATCGGTTTTTCAACTCAGCAGTGACCTGACCTTGTCATGTGACTGTTGCTCTGAGAAGGAGTCGATTCACAGACGGGTTCACACTTCACATGGTAGTTTTCGTCCAAGGCAGTTGCGAGAAAGGGATACAATCTCTCCTTTCGTGGTAAAATTGCATGGCGGCATCCACGGCGTCATGAGCCAGAAGCTGGTCTGCCAGCAGCTGGACATCAGCAGCAGCCAATTGCACATCTGCCTGAGGCGTAATAAGCTGGGACTTCGGTGGCAGACTCAGCCCGGTCGGCGGTCGCGACCACAAAAGCCGCCCTATGTCAAGTGGTGAGGAGAGTCATCAAGATAGCGGCAAAAAACGGCACCAATCAATCCGCAAATTGACTCGAATTCTTACCAAGCCAGATAATAAGAGATCCCATATCATGGTTTACCGCTACCCGCCCTTTAACTTGGTTCTAGTGCCCTTCAAAATGAAAGACAACGAAACTGACGGGAAAATAACCAGTTCACCACCTTTCGCCTCACGCCAGATCGCGTCCACTGGTTGAAGAAAGATAAAGGGTGAGGTGGTCTGCCGTCTGGTTGGAT